TCAAGGGTAAATGTTCGCTTTTCCACCACCCCCAGCATGGCCCAATGCTGTTCTGGGGAGAACCAGTCACAGGCCCTGCTTTGAAGCAGCAGGAGTCCGATGGGAGAGGTAGACAGGGGTGCAGCCACTGACGGGGGTGGGGGTGTGAGCCATGGTGAGAGGGGCTGCAGCAGGGGCACTGGGCAGAGCAGTGTCAGGCAGGGCCTCCTGTCCCAGCTTCAGAATCAGGCCTTGAAGGAGTGGAGGGAACGTGTCAGGTGGGAAGGCAGGGAAGGGCATTCCTCACCCAGGGAACAACCTTTGTAAAGAAAGAATCAAGGAGGCCAGGTGTGGTGGCTCACACCTGTAATCCCAGCACTTTGGGAGGCTGACGTGGGTGGATCACGAGGTCAGGAGTTCAAAACCAGCCTGGTCAAGATGGTGAAACCCTGTCTTTACTAAAATTACAAAAAAATTAGCCGGGCGTGGTGGTGAGTGCTTGTAATCCCAGCCACTCGGGAGGCTGAGGCAGAGAACTGCTTGAACCTGGCGGTGGAGGTTGTAGTGAGCCGAGATCGTGCCACTGCACTACAGCCTGAGTGACAGAGTGATTCTGTCTCAAAAAAAAGAAAAAAAAAATGGAAAGGTACAAAGAAGAAAGCTTGAATTGGGAGTTGCTGGACTGAGGGATGTCTGGAGAAGTCAGCCGGGATCGGAGTGTTGGAAGTTCCTCACCTAGGGAGCCAGGGCGGAGTTTAGAACTTGGCCAGCCATGTTTGGGAAGGCTCCGGCTGCAATGTGGAAGGCCTGGGGGCGGGAAGCACGGAGAGGAGGAGGCTGGATGGCGGTCAGCAGCGAGGGCAGTGGGTCCTGCGGTGCTGGGCACCCCAGAGCGCTACTGCACCCTGGCCACCAGAGGGCGCTGTGGGGCAGCAAGCAAAGGAGGCCCCAGCTGGTGGCAAGAGCATGCACATACCATGTGCACTGCTGTGCTCTGGCTTGTGTCTGTGGACGTGCCCATGTTGTTCCTCCATATGCACGTATGCACTTGAGCACCCCCTTGCATTTGTGTGTGTGTGTATGTGTATTTGGGGTGTGTGGACTTGCATAGATGTGAAGCCGCACATAAGAATAAGTATGTCCAAGGGGCATATGTAGGTGAGAACAGGGACCCCTCAGCTCCCACCACCCAGCCACACGGGTCTCCTTGTTACTCGCCTGCTAACCATCCACCTCAGGGCCCTTGCACAGCTGTTCCCTGTGCCTGGAATGCTTTTGCCCCCAGATGTCTCCTTCCCTTATGTCCTTTGGTCTCTGCTTACATGGCACCTTTGAGGGAGGCTTTTCCTGACCTCCATCCTTAAAATTATGGTCCCCACGTCCAGACACACACCCTGTTCCCTCTCCTACTTTTACCCATAGCATTTTTAATTTTTTTGAAAGGGTCTCACTATCTGCCAGGCTGGAGTGCAGTGGCATAATCTTGGCTCACTGTGGCCTTGACCTCCTGGGCTCAAGTGATCCTCCCACCTCAGCCTCCTGAGTAGCTGAGGTATGCCACCATACCCAGCCAACTTTCTTTTTTTGTAGAGATGAGGTTTTGCCAGGTTGCCCAGCCTGGTCTCAAACTACCGGGATCAAATGATTCACATGCCTCGGCCTCCCAAGGTGCTGGGGCTGCAGGTGTGAGCCACCATGCCTGGCCTGCCACACTTTGACAGGCATTTTGCTTGTCTGGCTCACACACCAGGTCATACTCTCCAGGGAGTTGTGTCTGTCTTATTCAATGTTGTGCTCTCAGCGCCAGTCACATAGTAATTGCTCAACAAATATCTGTTGACTGAATGAATGAGCTGCCCACATCCTGGGTTTGGGTCAGCCTCTCTCTACAGCCTTCTGTCACCCCAGGTCCTGCCTACCTCAGATCATGCTTGTATCCTGACTTTGGCCACAATCCTTCCCATCCAGAGCCTCAGTTTCCCTGCATCTGCCGAGAGGGGATTTGGGACTTTTCTCCTAGGAGTCAGGGTAAGACGCAGCCTCTTGTGACCCACGTCAAACATTCCTTCTGATTTCTGCGTGGTCATGGAGTTCCCCAGCCTGACTGTGCCACTTACAGTCAGAAAGAAATCAGGAGATGTCACTACAGCAAGCCAGCAGTTGTCTCTGATCAGACCATTGTCTCTGATGGTCCTCAGTGGTACTTCTTGAGCCGCAGCAGTGCAGCTGTGCATCCCAGTCTGGCCCTCACCTGGTCCTCATGTGTG